CTGTGTTTTAGCATTTAATTGAAGTGGATGAAGATGAATCCTCAGCAGCAGCGGATGGCCGCTATAGGAACCGACAAGGAACTCAGTGACCTGCTGGACTTCAGTGCGGTAGGATATTCTTCGAGGTCTTCTTATGCCTTCTCCACGGTAAAGCGAACTGAGAAGTAGGGGCGGCAGCCTGCAGGGCTTGGTTGGGTCCGACTCAGCCAATGTGGACACCTGAACTTTGATGTAATGTCTAGACTTCGAGATTTAATACTCTAATAGCAGCTGGGTCTTCTGGTTTAACTGGTTAAAAATTGGGCGGACCCAGGGATGGAATAATCTAACAATTAATCTTTGTTAAACCCGTGCATGCAACTGATAGTTTGTGTGGGGGGGTTTCTTGTTCCTTTAAATAAATGTAACTTGCTTTTGCCTTTAAAGCTCCAAGATTCTCAGTTGATACTTTGTTATACAATCTTGGATTGGAAATTATCTGTAAAGTATTTTCTGAGTGATTTTTTTCACACTTTTTTTTTCAAAATGCATATTTAAAAACAAAGAAAAATAGTGTCTTGCAAATTGGCTACTAATTACATTTATCCAGTGTCTTTAGATGGCATAAAATAACAGGCTGTATATTTTGAGCAGTAACATGATGTATTAGAATAGACTTTAAATTACTGTAATCATCTCTGGTTTCGCTATTTACATTGCTTGCTTTCACAAACAGTAGAGACTTTAGTAGCATTAGTGAAACTGCAAAAAGCATTCTAGATTATTTCTTTTATAGTACTTCTGAATCTGTCTTAAAGCCTGTTTTTTGGCAGAAAAATAGATTGATGATCTCGTATCTTTAGCCCACAGACAAGATTTATAAAATGGGTTTTGTTGTTAACTTAAACATCTGGGTTTTTTTTTTGTTTTGTTTTGCAGATGTTTTCCCCACCTGTTAATAGTGGGAAAACCAGACCAACTACATTAGGAAGCAGTCAGTTCAGTGGGTCAGGTAAGTTGCTGTTGAGAAATCTAAAATTCAAGTCACTGAATTTAGGCATTTTAGCATAGTTTATGTATGCATTTGAATCTTGCAGTTAAACACATGTTAAATTTGACATCAAAATAATTGAAGATGCCTTATTTTGACTGATTTTTATTATAAAAGGCCTATAGTTGTCTTTCATTATAGCTTAACATGCAGTTTGTTCAGTTCAGTCATTGGAATGTTAACTATCTCTAGTTTTGATACGCAAGTTGGATTTGATACATGTTGGGTTCAGAATGTCCATTTCTTGCTTTTTGTTTCACTTTTGCTAAATTTGAGCTAAGTCTTGGAACATACTATTTTAACATGTTACTCATGATATCTTAATAATACGTCAAATAAATTCTGAAAAACTTGTGAATTTATTTTAAATAGTCATTCTTATGCAAATGGTCAACGATACATTGAATACTTTAGAAAATAGAGTGAAATAACTTGATAAATCAGTGGAAAAATTATGCACATATGTTTATGTATTTGTTATGTTCTAGTGCGTAAGTCTGACTTTTCTAATAGCTGCATTATGTTGATATTGCAGAGCCTCTGGCCAGTGGAAAAGTGTCTCTTTTCTCCTCTAATTAGTACCAAAATATACAGTGTATGGGATTTAAAAAAAAAAAAGAAACCTATCTTGTAAATACTTAATTTTTAAAGCCCTCTAGTTTGGCTTCTACAAAGAAAAGAGGCAAGATAAATCAGGATGCATATGTCAACATATTTATCACAACATTATACACTTTTAAACAGTGAAGGGGAAAATGGTGCTTTTTTGTTGTCTTCTTCTTTCTCGTTCACAAAGTTCTCTGGAACATGTTTTGGGACAGGAAATTATAGTTTCCTGGTGCTCTGAATTCCTCGGAGATACGAGTCTCCCTCATTTAAGCTTTGTCAATGCTGTTATGAAAGCCAGCAAATATTTTAAAAAAACCGTGGAATTTATTTTACTACTCTGTATCTCTTTTGTTTTTTACTGAGAGTAGCTGCTCTGTATGTTGTCAGTTTTCAGAATGTTGAGGACAAACCTGTAATATCTCTAAGATCAACTGTATAAAAATTTTCATACTGCATAGTGCTCAGAAATAATAATTAAAAAATACTATTTACTCATTCAGTAATTCAGTAGTGATATTTTTGGTTTTTAATTATTTTGTTTATCTTGTAAGATTAAAATGTTTTTATTTAGTGTTTTTTATTTTCAACAAATGAATGGTAACTTTGAAGGACACCAAGTAAATAAACAATGAAATATTTCTTTAAATATATACAGGCTACATTACTGCTTATTTGGTACACTGTTGGAGTTGCCAGAGAAGTCTAGAGATATTAATGGCAATATTGAAAAATAGAATTCTTGTTTAAATTTTTTTTCTATTATTATCTTGGATGATTTTAAACTAGAAGATGGGGACCACTCAATATATCCACAACATCTTGAGAGTGAATGAAATTCTAAAAACAAAATAAACACAGAATAACCTAGTCTCAGAAGAAAATATTTTCAGAAATTTCCAGATCTATATGGGACTTTGATTTAGTTGTAAGAATGGCCATATTCCAATAGTCAGACCAATATTCCATCTAGCCCGGTATCCTCTCTAATGTCAGGGTCCATCTACACTGCACCATAGGTTGAAATAAGATATGCAATTTGAGCTACACAAATTGCATATCTTATTTCAAAATTGCTTAGTTTGTAATTTGGTGCTGTGTAGACAGCGCCAAATTTTGAAATAATCTGCTATTCCGAGATGTCCTTCACTCCTTGTGGAATGAGGTTTACAGGGACGTCAGAATAGCGAGCCCGTTATATTTCAAAATAATGGGTTTGTTGTTAAAACGTGGATCCCAAAATAGTGCTGCAGTGTAGATGTAGCCTCAGTGGCCAGCTTACTGTAACAAGCAATGAGGATGAGTATTTTAATAGTAGTACAGGGATTGGTATACTGTATGTTTGTGAAATAGTTCTTTCTTACAAACTGTCAGGTGAATCTCTCTAAAAAATCTGCATCTTACAAATTTAGCTAAGAAGAATTTGTTGTAAAATTAAAATTTTACATGGTCAGGTGTCTAGATAATATTTAGTCTTGCCTTGAATGCAGGGGACTGGACTACAAGACCTCTTGAGGTCCTTCCTGTGTGTCCTTCTTTAAATTTAAGAGAGGTGCAAAGTGGTACAGGGGATCCAGGGAAGGACAAGGAGGTATTTTTTTTTGTTTCCCCTTCTCCTTAGTTTGCTTTTTCAGGATACATACAATGTCAAACAATAAATCTTGAGTGGTCAATATAAATATTAAAACATACCATTCAGCTCTTCGTGATTCTGTTTCCAGGCCTGCTTCTACATACTGATTCCCCCAGAAAAGAGAGAACACAATAGGGTTTAACCAGAAAGATACCCTTCCCCCAAATAATATTGGTAGCTTGGATTTTTGTTGTTGGGAATCCTGATCTGTTCTGATGTGACATCACAGAGATACTGTGCATGAGAGAATGCATTATGGCTGTTTCTCAAGCTTCATCCTCAACAGAAGTGTACTCCCCCAAGAGAAGGATAATGAGATATTATAGAATCATAGGACTGGAAGGGACCTCGAGAGGTCATCGAGTCCAGCCCCCCACCCTCAAGGCAGGACCAAGCTCCGTCTACACCATCCCTGACAGATGTCTATCTAACCTGTTCTTAAATATCTCCAAAGAGGGAGATTCCACCACCTCCCTTGAACATCAAGCTATTGCTTAGGCTATTCCGATGCAAGAATAATATTTGATAACACTTAACCAGATATGTTTTAATTCACAGTGTTTCTGGTTGTACACAGTATGTGGTTATAGAGTCTCAGTTCATCACTTCAAGGCAATCTTATATAGATTCTGTGTTCCTTGTACTGTTACAGTGACCTTAGCCTTGACCTAGACGGATTACTCTGTGCAGGAGTAAGAGGTGACGAACTCTGTATTAGCTCAGTTCCGGGACACTATTAGGTATAATAGAGATGCTTTTTTCAGATGATTGACAGAGTAAAAGTAGTACAAGTATTTATTTCTGATACCCAGGTTTAATTCTGCATTGTGAGTGTGATTAAATTTCAAGAATATTTTGTAGCTTGTAGAGTAAATGATGTTTGCACACTTTGTTTTTTTTTTAATAAATACTATAGAGATCAAATAAAAAAAACAGGAAAAGAAAATATTAAAGTGTTTACCCCTTAAAGGCATTCAGTCCCAAAAAATATATTGGGCATAGATTTGTAAAACAGTGCTGCTTTTTTTTTAACCATGGAGGATGTAGTTTTGTCTGTTTTTTAAAGGTTTGCTCATTTTTTACTTAATACACAGAATTTGAGATTATTTGACTTCCAATGATTGTGTTTGCAATTATGCTTTTGTGGATTATTTTTGTGAAGATGGTATTTCACAGTTTTTTTCTATTTTAAAAATAATTAGCTTTATCTCCTTTTTTTCCAGTGTCCTGTCTTAACCAGGCAAGAGTGGTGTTTGTTTATTAAAACATTTCTTAAATTTCCAGTTAAAATCTGCTAGAATCAGAGACAAACATCCCTATTTATGTACCTGCAAAGCTTTTACTGGCACTTTCAAGTTACAGTCCTAGAAAATGTAAAAGAGAAGGGTGGGGGAAATGTTTGCTATGTCAGTTGATTTGGTTGTTAATGGGCAAACTAACAAATCTCTAAAAATGAAGGAGTGCCTCTTTGTTTTTCACAATTTTTGGCTTCTCTAGGTGATGTGGATGTCAAGGTGCAAGTTGCCGATCTTTCGCAGCAAGCATGATCTGATTTAATATAGCTGTGTTTGTCATCTGTTAATTACAAAATTACATCTGTAATGAATATAATAAAAATAAGCCAGTCAGGGTATTGTGACTGAAATATTTTTTTGGGAGAAAGGTACCATAGACATGAATATTGTGCTTTAGTGTGTGAGACGCTAAGGTTGGGTCTACAAAACAGGGTTATGTGGGCCTAAATCGGCTTACTCAGTGCTAACTCTTAAGTACTGACACCACTATATTTTTCCCTCAGTGTAAGTCACCTAGTACACTGACCTAATAATTCAGCTTCCATGAAAAGTATAGCATTTAGCTGGATATAGTTAGGTCTATCCAAGATGTGTGAAAGCATTGTGAACCCCATACACTGCTCTATTTAAGTCCGTGTAAGCGCTCCTGGTAAGGATGTGCACCACCTTAAATTGACTTAATTTTGTAGAGTAGACGAGGACTTAAGGTGTTTAGGAATTGAAGAATTAAACTGCTTGGTGGTAATGTGGTATTTATGGATTTATAGGGTCAGAGTATTATTTTATTTTGGGAGGGTGCGAGAGTTTACTTTTTAAATTTTAATCCTCTGTGAATGAAAGCTACAGGTAAAATTAGTGAATTTGATACATCATGGTATTTTATGACAATGAATCCTGTAACGTGTTGATAATGATAGGAATCAATATATTAGACAAGTATTCTGACACAAAATACGAATTATAGATTTAAATTGCAAAAATACCTTGCTTTTGGTGCCTCCTACTAAAATAAAACATCTTTCCTTCTTCACTCATGGCTTCTCTTCCTTCCTCTGTGTTGCTCTTATCTACAATATATTTGAGAGAGTTTGTGCTTCTGCGTGTCCATCTGTCTGTGAGTCCATTTGTTCAAGAACTCCTTATAGTAAGGCCTAGGACCATTAGATTTGGTATGCAACTTCCTCTTATCCTAATTTAAAGCAAGATTTGGGTTTTGTTGTGCCAGGACAGTGGGATGTGAATGGAAAGGAATTGTTTTTCATCTAACAGAAAGGGAGGGGTGTGATAGCGAATATACTCATGAATGACTGCAGGGGGGCAACAAGCACGGAGAACAGTTGTACCTCAGAATGATCACAGGGTGGCAGCAAGGGAGCAGTGGCTCTGCCCTGGGCCCTTCTTCCCCTCTAACCCTGACTTCTGCAAAA